GTTAATGTGTCGGTATTGTTTGAGGTAAAGAAAGTTCTCCAATTAGTGCTTCTTAGGTAATTGTGGAAGTTATTCCAATCAACCTTGCGATAGTTTCTACGAAGTGTTACGGTTTTACTTCTATCGGTTGTGGTTTTTACATTAAGGCTGCATATGGCAATGTTATGATCACTACCTGGGAACTTTTTTCCAATATACAAAGTATTGGGGATGAGGCCACTGGTAAAGACTAAGTCTAAGATGTTTTGATGCCTGGTAGGGCTATCGACATACTGAGTCCATTGTCCAAGCTCTAGACATTCAATAAATGATTCATAACGTCTCGGCGCTTTGACTGGCAGCCAAGAAATTTCGGGCATATTGAAGTCACCACAAATGAGCTTGCCTGTGAATGAGAGGGATGATGCTAGCGTGAATACCTCCGATAATACTGCTATTTCATCTATTGATGCGTTAGGTTGACGATAAACACAGCCGAGCAGTAAGGTAACGGAATTCGACGGCTTTAATACAATCCACACCGAATCCTTCAGTTTGTTTAGTTCAGGCATATCACATAACAGTGAGTTCAGGCTAGAGTGAGCGTAAATAAGGCATCCTCCGCCTCGTCCATTCAGTCTATCGCTTCTATATAGGGAATAGTTATCTAGAGATATGCTTCGGTCGGAAATATTACTGTTAGTCCATGCTTCAGATATCATAATAACTGATGGTTGATATATGGATACAAACAGGGCTAAATCCGTCTTTTTGTTGCAGATCGATCGAGCGTTGATAAGACATATATTAAGCAAGTGGCCTACTAAGTTAAAATGGGTGAGGGTATTTCGGATAAAGTCGTCGTATCCCTCGCGAGTGTAAGATGAGTTTGATGTGAGGGATTGGATGTTCTTCATTAGCTCGGTATTTTGATAGTTAAACTTATTGGGAGATGTATCAAATGAGCTGGTGAAGTTGATTGGGGAGTTTACCCAGGAGGAAAGGGTGGGAGTACTCTGTGATGGAAACTGTACGGAGGAAACAAATTTATGGTTTGCATGTGGTTTGAAATAACCTGGGCTATATGCTTCAACAGAGGTGTCACTAGGGGTCTTATTCCAAAAAAATCTTGTACAGGCCTACTGTGAAGTGTATGGTTATTTACAAAATAGTCTTGATGGTTAGACTCGTAGCCCCTGTTATGGCTATTTACGTTAGCGCGAGAGGGGTCTGCTACGCGTAACTGGGAGGAGTTGCGACTGTTGTTATACATGGGAGTCGTTGTTATGTGATGGGTCGGTACTAAAGGGTATGAGAAGTTTTCTTTTTGAGGGTAATTACAGTTGCGATCCTGGGGAATGTAGGTAGGGTGTGGAGTGAGAAACCTATTATTACCGTTCTTATTTATGGTTTTAGGCTTCAGGGGGTGGTTTGGGTGGCCAGTTCTCTGGTAGTTTTCGTTAGTCTGCGTGTAAGAAGGCTTGCTACGTTGAAGCCCACCACCCTTTTTGCAACTTGGAGGTGTTGAAGGCAAGTTATACGATAGCAGCGGGGAGAACCTGTTCACTGTTCTTGGGATACCTATAGAGCAGTTGGGTTCAATCTTACGTGTTTCCCTATTCGGTATCATGAGTTTTGTCTTCCCACCCTTTATTTTCAGAGCAGGATTCTTTCGTTGTCTTTGTGAGATGAACTTACGTTCATTCAAGTCTACTTGTGGAATGTCTTTAGGAGGACAAATTTTCAAGTGTATAGGTTTAGTTGCACATGTGTTGTTACACGACTCACATTTTAGTACATTACTGAATGAACAGCTGGGATTAGTCATGTCGCTATGGTTTTTGGTGTCAGTTGGGGTCCGTATCTTATCCAAAGGTTTCTGATCTGTAGACTCATCTAGATCAACAGAGTGATCAGCCGTATGTGGAGTGGTGTCATGCTTAATGTTCGTGTGTTTTAAACTATTTGCTGTGTTGCAAACTGTCTCTGGCTGATTATTAACTGTAACACTCCCATTCAATTCTATCGCTTCGCGTCTTCTTACACGACGTTGACAGGGCGTAAGGTCTGGAGTGACTCTTATATTTTTGTATGGAATTAGTGAGCTAATGTTTTTGCTCAAATCAATAAACTGCTTAGCATCGTTACAACAGCCAAACATAAACAAGAGGGGGCAAGTTGATCTGTCTGACTTTTTTCTAAGGCGGATGACTTTGCAGTTAACGTTCGGCATACCGCATGCTCTAAGGCAATATCTCTAAACTTAGATGGGTGTGTGCGGTCGGGGGGGTTATACACAACTGCATTGAAGGAGGACATTACTCTCTTCGTCACTTCTTCAGCCACAAACTCCAAAATACACTCAGCTTTAGTGAGTTGCTCAAGATTTCTGTCTGTATCAAGGCCCCATATATGAGTGAGGGGTGCTAATTGCTCAAGTTTGCCGTTAATTTCGGATAGAGAGTTTTGTAGCTGTCGGATGTCATTACTATATCTATCAGTATTTTGGTGCGTATGAGGTGGACCATTGGACTCTTTAGTTTTTGAAATTTTAGACATAGGCCTTGGTAGCACATACTGTTTAGTAGACTGTGCTGACTTTTCAATGCACGTAGGTATAGTGTCTTGTATGTCAACCAGTCTTACCGTTGGCATACTGCACGTAAAGATAGAGGGGCTGCGACATGGAGAATCTGGTGACGATAGGGACATTTGTGTACAATGCACATATTTTTCAGTAGTTAAAGGTTCGACATTGTCAAGCACTGAGTCGTCAGTTGTAGGGGTTACAGATTTGGACCTTTTATTTGGATTAGAAGTTGGTGAAATTCCTCTTTTACTGGAGTTATTGGACATGATATGAATATAAGTGAGCACAGTGCTCGTTAAATTAAATATAATATCTGAGTATTAGTTGTTATTAAGTATTAACCTGGTTAATACTAGGATTAGAGACTGTGAGTATATAATAAATTGCAGACCTATTTACGACTTAAGTCCGCAATAGGTACAATACGAACTGGTAATTGTCCGTCGAATAAAAATAAGTTTTTTCTTATGTTTCGAGGTGAGATGTTCTCGATGTACAGGATAGGATGATAATCACAGTATAATACACCCTACAAAAGAGCAAGTCAAAGAATTCCTAAACCACGTGAAAAAAATGTTACCACTTTCAAAGTTCGCGCTCGTTGCAGATCATTTCGGCGTTCCTTTTAGATTCTTGTTCTGTACCCGTCGAAATATTCCATACTTCTTTCAGATTCTCATTCTCTAATATTTCAAAAACAAAATGTTTCTGTGGAAGTTATTGGAAGCGCTTGAGGACAATGCTTATAGGAAAGAAGTGTGCAAATAGCAAAATGGTAAGATAAAAAACTACCTTTGATCCGAAATTATTGACTTATCGATTTATTGGCTCAGTGTTTTTAATCGGGCAGTCGGAGTTAGTTGGAAGCTTAGTGAGCTGGGAATGCATACGCATTTGATTGGGGAATTTACTTTGACGGTTATTCTAGCAAACTGATCGAATTGCTATTTACATGTTGCGGCAAGCAATCAGTGGTCGAGGACGAATGCAATTAAAGTCAAAAGCCGTTCATAATAAATGATGCATTAAATGCATAACCAATCAGCTAAAGACGTCAACTTTAACGTGTCATTTTGTGCTTCATGATAGTGTTCCCAAATAAATTTCGGAAGTATTAGCAACGTCGCAGGACGAAGTCATATGTCCTATGTATATTTCCGGTGGTATACCACAGGGGTGATGAAAAAGAGGGAAAGCGGAAGGGCAAGAAGCAGAACAGACTTCGTTAGTGACCAGCGAAGTTTATAAATATGTTTGCAAGTAGCTGATGAACATCACGAAATATAATGAATTCATATTATCTAACATCAATGTTTGTTTTGGCTTTATTTAAATCCACAAAATGGAAATAATTCCATAAAAGGAAGCCGGATAGACATATTGGAAGTGTGAAAGATCAACTCGCTGTTATTATGCTCACTTCTCTATAGAATAAATTTCACCTGTTGCCAAGTCATTTTCTGCTTGTGGTATGATACTAACCGGTATATTACGGCTTCATCTAAGAACGTGCACAAACATTCTTGGGACAAAAAACATCTCACAAAAGTTCCAGTTGTCAGCCGCAATTTGTCGAGATTTATCTACCTTCAATATTGTCCTTACTCCAAAAATCTGTTTATAGCGAAGCAAATAATCCGTTTAAGATAACCATAATGTGTGAAAGCCTAGAGATTTTAGTTCTCCCTAGTTATAATTATATTTTTGAATAACGTTCACGTAGTTTCATTGGTTATTACGTCCTGGAACTCGCACCTCACCGATTCCTTACAACAGTTTCGATCAAAAGATTTAGTTATTATTAAGGGTGTGAATAGTGGCTAGCGTCCTGAATTCCACTGCTAGCCACTATCCATCAATGCTTATAAAGCTTGTGAATCAAGGCAATATCGAGACAATATGCACAGTATACACATATGCCAATAACAGACTGGTCAATTGCAGTCTTAAACCTCAATGGGAAGATTCAAGCAAAACAATACCAAGTGAATTGAAATTCACCCCATTGCACAAACAAGTGACTACTGGGACTCAGTAGCTAAGTGGATAACGTGATAGCGTTTGGAGCGAATAGTACTGGGTTCGAGTCCCAGAGTGAATATCAACTCTGGGATGCAGGTACATCCGGCTGACGAGTCCCAAACAGGACGAAACGCGCGTCGAACTGAATTCCACTGCTAGCCATTATTCAATATATATGTAAGATAATAATTCTTGCCAATTAGTGTAAATATTTCATTCCTACTAGTTGTGGAAAGACTAGCTTATTGGTGACAAGGTTCAATAATTCCCAGTTGTATCAAGAATGTAAATACTTCTTGTTGATGAGTGCAAAACCTAAGTTTGGAACATTTCGTCTACGTATGATTGAAAAAGTGAATGAGCGCATCGACCCTTGAGAACTGAGAGATCTAATAAAAAGTTGAAAATAAGTAGAACTATATATTTGACAAAAAGGAAGTGAGTAATCACTTTCACGCACTATTTCTAATTCATTTTGACGATAATCTAATTTAAATGATTAAAACATCTCACAAAAAATCGGACGAAAAGCAAAAATAAACTAAATATCTGAATGTAAAAGTTATTTCATGTAGAATCAAATTAAAAACCAAAGGTTAAATAAATGTACATGTATATTACAGCAATTTTAAAATCGGACATTTTTTCCTACTGGACCACTATCTTCAGCTAATTGTTTACGCTTTTGTATGATTGATTGTATTTTTTGTAACTGACGATCTAATTCAGCTTTTTCATCTTTTGGTCCAATACGACGTGTACGACGACCATCAGCCATTTTAACACCATATTGAAATGCAGCTTTTGGTAAAGCTTCTTTATTCGACATATAATCACTATATTCTTCCTGTGTTTCAAAGTCCCATCGACCAACTGGACCTTTTTTATTACCTAAATCCATTTTGCTAAAATCAGCTTCATCATCAGAATCACCCATAGCATCGTATGATTCAGCGAAACCGGGATAACATTCATCGTAACACGTGACTTGAGTTTTAGCAAAGAATCGTTCAAGACTTGCCTAAAAATAAATTTATGAAAAAAGGACATAATTGTGCAATCATGAGTTGTGGCTTCCAGACAGTACAGATTCATTATGTTTGTTGATTAACATCTTCTTTCTTACATCACCTTCGTCCTGAATAGAACGAAACGCTCGTCGCGGACTCCATTACTAGCTACTGTTCAACCATAATAAGAACTTGCGACTAAATAGCATTATCGGTCAAATATGCTCAGGATGCACACATCCCACGTAGAAACGGACCAGCTGTGGTCGTTAATACTAATAACATGAAAATAAATAACACTCATAAGTTAGCTTACATGGTTCACAACTGATCATCTTCGTTACACACGCAGATTTTAACTATCCGGAAATGCCGTTTTACCGATTTCTTAAATGATAGGTGTTGTATATATATACAAAGCTTCACACGAGAAACCGAAGGTCATAGGATCGGACTGCCGGATAACCCGTGAATATGCACCGCTGAGTCCCATAACAGGCTGAAACAGCTATCCAGTGCTTTCAAGTTTCAATTATGGTTTAGCTAAGACCAGTTCGTGATTTAAACTTTGAAAACTTAACAATCCCCTCAAATTCGCCACACTAATAAATAGAACCCTCAAGTGAAGCATACATCCTCTTAGGTTCGAAATAAACTGAATTTACCGTAAAACGTTTGTTGAGAAGGTTGATAGTTACAAGAAACTTATAGGTGGAACTACATAATATGGTTTATAGTAAGACAAAACAATTTAAATTATTTAACAAAACAACTTCAAACGTAGATATACGAGCGAGGAACTTTCTTTTCCATGAGCCTTTTTCGGGTTCTACAATTACATATCTAAATTAATACTCCAAAAAATTGGTTAGGTTTAAGGCACGTCAGTCAGCTGCAACGTAGGACTAGGCACATATACACATCTGTCCAAGTTGCCACAGCTCATCAGCACAACAAGACGGACACCAAATTCATAGAGGTAGTTACTTCAATTGTAGTAATATATAAAAGAAAGATTGTGTATAATGATAAAATACAAGAAGAAAGAATTAGTGCGCAGAAAGGTATAAATTAATTTTAATCTCACGCTTTAACTAGAGACGCAATTGTGATCGGTTCTGAGCCATGTCACCAAGAGTCTCCAACCATCGGTTACGAAAGTCACGCGGACCCCAACCAAGTAGTCTGCATCTACCAACATGGCTCAGACTAGAGGTTAGTGTCTTCAAGCACTGATGCCACGTTTTGGTTTGGCCGCCCCTAATTCTCTTCCAACCATCTCTAACACCCGTTAGCATTGCACGTCGTGTTAATCGGTGTTCAGGCATACGTAACACGTGGCCCAAACATCTCAGTCGACGAAAATTCACAACTTCATCAACTGGTTTACCATCATTCCCTAATACCCTACGTCTAACCTCACTATTACATACCCAGTGATCCCCGCAGATGCAAGCAATATTTCTAAGGCATCCGTGATCAAATACTAGTAGCTTACGAGTGTGTTCTATCCTTAATGGCCATGTTTCGCTGCCGTAAATTAAAACAGGACGAACTGCCGCGCAGTATACTCGTCCTTTAGTTGATAGACGGATATCTCGCCTTCGCCATAGGTGATGTAAGTTGGCAAAAGCCAAACGAGCTTTCTGAATCCGTACAGAGGTTTCGTCAGACTCGAACCTATTAGGGCTGATCAGACTTCCAAGACAAGTGAAGTTGTCAACGTATTCGACTACTTCATTCCCTTGCTTTAGTTCAGGTGTTGACGCAGGCCAGTCCTGAAGCAACAACTTGCATTTAGAGGGAGAAAAGCGCATCCCAAATATTCTGGCATTGTTCCTCAGTCCTACCAGATGACTTTGCATTTTATCAGCGTCTTCACCGAACAGGACTATGTTATCTGTATATACTAAGTCGATAAGTGGACCTCCTGGAAGGATATCAATACCCGAGAATTCAGTCGACGAGAGCATTATTTCCATTAGTAGGTCTATGATGAAGTTAAACAGAAATGGAGAAAGTGGACAGCCTTGACAAACACCACACCTTGACAGACACTGCCACAGAATCTCGCGGTCTACCGAGTCAAATGCTGCTTTTAAGTCAAGAAAGACCACCATTGTCGGACGCCGATAAGTATGCCTGTGTTCTTGAACCTGACGAATGGTGAATGTGTGGTCGATGCAGCCACGACCAGGTCTGAAGCCAGCTTGGTTCTCTCGTGTTTGAAGTTCACGAGTCTTTGTTAGGCGTCCGATAATTATTATTGATCTGATTGTTAGAAGGGATATCGGCCTCGTGACTTCCGAAGAACCTCGTCTTTCATTCTGATGCGTCATAATTCTTCCTTCGACTCCCAGGGTAGAGTTTAAATGGTTTCATTTGTTTAATCTGGTTGGTGTTTTTTAGCCAGATATTTTTCTACCGGATGGGGTGTCCGACCTCAAGCCCAACCCTCCTCCTTTACTCGGGCTTGTGACCGTCATTAACTTTAGAAGAGCTACAGGCGGAATTTAATTTGGCGATGACTAACATGAATTGTTAACTTCAAATAAACTTAGTGATTGTGTCATTCCTTATTGATATGAGATGTTATAAGAAGATAACAATGATGGTAAGGTCTGAACATGTTGATAAACACTTTAATTATTTTCTAATATTGCTGTTTTGACTGTAGTCCCTAATAGTTTGTGTTTACCCCGTTCTTTCTTCTATATATTACCCCGATTGAAGTAACTACGTCTATGAATCTAGTGTTCATCTTGCTGTGCTAATGCGGTATGGCAACTTGGACCGATGCATATATGTGCCTGGTCCTACGTTGTAGCTGACTGACCCCGTTAAGGACCCTAATTGATCAACACGTACTGGATTATGTGTCGAGTGAATTTTACCGATGTTATTACTTAGCCAGTAATCCATCACAAACGATTAATGAAGGTTACGCAATATCATAAATTCATTAGAATTAAATGCTAATACCACAGGATGCAAGATCAATGATCTATGAGTTTAGCGTTCACGTGCGAGGCTGAGGTCAAGGGTTCGATTTTCAGATGCGAACTGCTGAGGATTCCTACACTAGGATGAAATTATCATCTAGTATTTCCGGGTTCTATTTGTAAGCAAAATATTCTTGGTGGTGAATGTTTTAGTGATGCCCTAATCATTATGCTTATCACAGAGCTTTATGAGAAGTTAAAATATCGCCGTAAACTTTCCTTCTTTTCATCAACCGATTTGAAACTAGTTATTCAAGTGAATACATTCCTTGCCAAGAATTAATCACCACATCATATAATCTCTGGTTGGAACGATGAATAGGTATACAATCTGATTAGTTAACATTGTGCATACTAGTACTAGGGGAGTGGACCCCTAAGAAAACCATCTACTTCGGTTTTGGCGCCCGGACAGTATCCCGGCCCGGCACATATATATTTAGTGCCTCCTTGTACCAATGTTTATATGTTTAAATAAATTAATGAAATCGACTGCCCAGTCTAATTTACTTGAGTCCTACGTAAGATTTATTTACTCATTTATAAATAAATACATATATGCATATAACCTACTTTTTCCTGTAACCTATTTTCATCTTTAACATCAAAACGTTGACTTAATTCATTTAAAAATTCTTTAGTAGCACTTATTGAATTATTTGTGACTGAATCAGCATTGGCGGGAATATCGAAGTATGATGCTTGTGCACTATTTGATTCAGCATTGGTGTTACTATTACTACCAGATGTAGTAGTATTAGAAACGGGTAGACGATTACGTGAATTCGACACTCTAGAATCCTCATATGGTAAATCCATCCTATCGTTACTTTTGCATTGCTTCTTTGTTGTCGGTAAGTAATCGTTTCCGATACCTTCAAATATAGCAGTATCTGTTATCAAGTAAGAAAGATAAGTCCAATTAGGTAACAAAAAGATATACATTTTACGTGTAGAAAAGTGTGATAAAAGTAAACTACAACACTGACAACCTTTAGTGACTTATCGGTCAATCATGAAACAATGTTAGGTTATATAAAGATATGTAACAAAAAATAATAAATCTCAACAAGTGAAGTTCCCACATGATTAATGAACGTTAATACATTGGGTCAATCAAAAATCGGTCAAATGATAAATGCACAGGATTGGCCAAGAAATAGGTTATATACTCTAGGAATGGGACCTACACTGTCATTGACTTTTTATATATGAGCACGTATACAGCACGACTTACTTAGTCAATAAAATCCCTATATCAGTTTTTTGCTCGAATAGCAGGTTGAACTAGCGTATAGGGAGAGCAAATAATAGTATAAAATCTTGGAAACCAAACATCTTCACAAACGTTTACATATTGGATTATTTATCACAGTAAACGAGACGAAAGAGGGTTAGGTTTGTATATTAGGAGTTTGGATAGAGATATCAGTTACGAATGTTAGGATAATTTGTATCCATAAAAACACTATTGACCACGCTATGAATCAGGTGTTTGTCGAAGTTTGATTTACATACCATTTCACATAAACACAAAGTGCCGCTGTACAAATGACATTTTATCAATCGAACTTTTAGGAACTAGGCAAATATAATTTCCATTTAGTTTTTAATAAGACACATGTTATCATCTTTTAATGAGCTTTGAATTGCGGGCACGAATCCGGGAGGGGCTATATTATATCAGATTGGTTCACTCAGTCATAATTATTATATATAGATTTACCGAAAGTTTTGCCAAAATGACTATACATAATTATTAGTTAGTTAAAACAAAGCTGATTGACATATGTAAATGTGTGAAAAAAACAAAGTAAACAAAAATATAGGTCATCATGATGAACAAGAAGAGATGTAAAAATATGGTACACAAAAAACTTCGATTAGTTAATATATAACCGTCAGAGTCTAAATGATGGGTTGATATTAGTTGAACAACCATTGAAAACCAGGAGACAAAGGACAAGGTGTGGCACTCTCCATTAGTGTGTGTTAATGACCCCACTGAGAATCGAACTCAGAAGCCGATAATAGTGGAGCACAACTATGTCGGATGTGAGTGATAGTTATACACCGCCTAATATCACGAATTGGTTGCCGGCTCAGTGGTTTGGGCGAGACCTGAAGGTCTTAAAGCTCAATCACTGATGGGGTCGCGAATGTACATTACTGAGAAGTTCCATACTAGGCCGAAACAGATATTCAGTGCCATTTGGTCTATGATCATTTAGCTATGCTCAGTCCGTAATATCGTAGTGGATTGGCTTAGAAATAATTCATCAAGCCTAGTTTATCAATCACCCTGATAAACTTTATTAAGTATATCCCGATAGTGTACAAATTCAGAAGGCAACACGAAGCGCCGACTACAGTTTATTATTGGATAGCACAGATCATAATGCAAACAAAGTGAATTTGAGCAGAAAGGCTGGTGCGCACAAACAAGCGAATACATAGGCGGATTCCGAGTCAAATCGAAACGAAGTGAATCAATTAATAAGATTCAAGCACATATATATGTGGGAAAGCAAGTGATTCATCGAGCGACTTTTAAGCAACTACTATTTAAGGTGTAGTGAGGACTATGCGCGTAGGCCGTTATACGTAATCAAACATACATGCTTATACAGACATGATAATAATAATAATAATAAAAAGGAATTGACAAATTGTTACCGTTCGAATAACACTGTCTGTTAAATGAATTAATTGAAGTAGTAGATAAAATTACCCGTAAACAAACCCAATTGTAGGACAGGTGCTATAATGCAAACTATGAAATTAACAATCTCCACAATCCCTTTATACTAATGATATATAATACTTTGGAACAACGTGATTAAAGTGAATTTCAACAATTGCATTACTAAACTTTCGTGTCAGTTTATATTAAAAGACAGGAAAACGATGCGATTAAATATCTGATCTGTAGATTAATTGGGTAAATGTAATTTGGTTGTAATTGACTCCAAATACAAATATTTCAAATTAACAGGAATTAGTCCATTTGATAAACTTAGATGGTGTAATAAGGCGAAGATTATCCAGTTGTCTAGTTGACTATTTATTTTCATGTATAATTGTTCATAACAAGTATATGTGTGGTCACATTGTCCGAAATGTATTGTGCCAACTTACAGTATAGTTCCGATAATTTTCGTCCTCTTATGATAATATACTAGTAATGATTAGTACTCATATTTGTGATATACAAGTTCATGAACTTCGTTTTGCTAGCCACAGACTATTTTATGTAAGGTTTGCTATTGCTACCCAGTCAATCATACGCAACGCAGAACTGGGTATATATATGCATCAGTTCAAGTTGCTGCACTATATCAGAATAGAGATACCAGATTACTACAATTAGTAGCAGTAACAATGGTAGTGGAAAAGATTAGGAATAGAAGACAAGATTCAAGAGAAAATATGGATTCGTTGAATGATCTTTTAAAGAGATAATTAGGAAACTTAACATGTAAAAGGAGACGAGTGAATACACCTACGTTACTGTGAACAATTCTGACCTATATCATCCCAAGTACTGAACCACTAGTCGCAGCTTTTGCGTGGATACTATCCATTATTTGGTCGGACCGAAGTGCACGGAGCGTAGTTCGGAATGATGATGTGTAACTGACTGGAACCAGAGTACCATGACTACTAAATGATCGTTGCTTCATATTTACCAAACATACTTGACGGGTTTTTGTTATGCATTTTGACGGTAGATTAGACGGTGTATCAAGTTTACCTTTGAATGTATTTCTTCGGTATTAAGAAAATGGATACTTCTTTTAAAATTATTGATCATATATCTTACTTTGAATGACTGAAATTGCTTTATCGTAGTAAATTGTACAATTCATGGCAAAAAACTAGAGTGAATTAAAACAACACACTGATTTCACCACAATTTGTGTAAAAATATCTCCAAAAAACTTTTGAATTCCTCCAATTTCTGTGTTCTTACATAAATTTTATATTCGTCTAAAAATTATTGTGTAGCTGTTATTAAATTAGCTTCCTATCAAGATAATTCGCTAACATTCATATTTCGTATTAAAGAATCTCAGTCAATAATGTGCACGGTAACCAACATAGAATATATATGCGCATCAGGTAAATTCAACACAACACACAAATACACCGATACAATATATTATTTTTCCTTTGATTTTTTGGTAATAATAATTATTATTATCATTATAGTAGTCTACAGCTATCTACGTGGCTCAGTTAAATTTTCCGAGATGTTATGGACTGAACTCCGCCTGTAGCTCTTATAGGGTTACTGCCGGTCCCAAGCCCGGGTAAAGGAGGAGGGTTGGGCATGGGGTTAGCGTCCCCATCCCGTAGAAAACTAACTCGCTAAAAAAACGCTTACCAGAAAAAATAATCCAAACCATTTTAACTCTGCCCTGGGAGTTAGAAGGTCTTCATTTAGAAGAATTATGACGCTTCATGGTGAAAGCCGAGTTCCTTCGGAAGCCACGAGGCCGATGCCCCTTCTAACAACCAGAGCAAAAATTTTTATAGGTACATGGAACGTTCGAACAATGTGGGAAACCGGGAAGACCAGTCAAATAGCAATGGAAATGAGGAGATACAACTTAGCAGTACTGGGAATCAGCGAAACCCACTGGACCCAAGCTGGACAGAAAAGGCTAGCTACGGGAGAGATGCTGCTATACTCCGGTCACGAAGAGGACAATGCTGCACACACTCAAGGAGTCGCTCTTACGCTGTCCAAAGTAGCACGAAATGCACTTGTAGGACGGGAATCTCACGGATCCAGAATCATCAAAGCATCATTCAAAATAAAGGAGGGGATCTTAATGAATATTATCCAATGTTATGCACCCACCAATGATAGCAACGACGAAATTAAAGATCAATTCTACGAGAGGCTACAGTCAATCATTGAGAAATGCCCAAGAAAGGACCTGACTATTCTGATGGGAGATCTAAATGCCAAAGTCTGAATAGACAACACTGGATATGAAGATATTATGGGACGACATGGACTGGGAGAAAGAAACGAAAATGGAGAAAGATTTGCAAATCTATGTGCATTCAACAAATTGGTCATAGGAGGCACAATATTTCCACACAAGCGTATACACAAGGCTACATGGATCTCACCGGATCACACTACAGAGAACCAAATAGATCATATTTGCATCAACAAAAAATTCCGAAGGACAATGGAAGATGTGAGAACCAGGAGAGGTGCTGACGTAGCTTCAGATCACCACCTAGTTGTAGCCAATTTAAAACTGAAGCTAAAAAAGAACTGGACAAGTGGACAAACAGCAATACAAAGGTTCAATACAGCCTTCCTTCGAGATACTGTCAAACTCAATGAATTCAAGATAGCTCTCAACAACAGGTTCCAAGCCTTACGAGATCTACTGAAAGAAGAAGAAACTACTATGGAGGACAACTGGAAAGGCATCAAGGAAGCATTAACTTCAACGTGTCAAGAGGTTCTCGGTCTAAAGAAATACCATCATAAGGAATGGATCTCTACAGAAACACTGGACAAGATCAAAGAAAGGAAGAACAAGAAGGCAGCAATAAACAACAGCCGAACACGAGCAGAGAAAGTACAAGCACAAGCTGAATACATAGAAGCAAACAAACAAGTGAAGAGGAGCATTAGAGCCGACAAGAAGAAATACGTGGAAGAACTAGCAACGACGGCAGAAAAAGCTGCTAGAGAAGGAAATATGAAACAGCTTCACGATACAACGAAGAAACTAGCAGGGAAATACAGTAAACCAGAGAGGCCGGTCAAAGACAAAGAAGGCAAGCTAATCACCGAAATTCAACAACAGCGTAACAGATGGGTAGAGTACTTCGAGGAACTCCTGAATAGGCCGGCTCCAATGAATCCACCGGACATCGAAGCAGCACACATAGATCTTCCTATAGATGTCAACCCACCAACGACGGAAGAAATCAGAATGGCCGTCAGACAAATCAAGAACGGGAAAGCAGCAGGACCCGACAACATACTAGCTGAAGCACTGAAACCAGACATCGAAGCAACCACAAGCATGCTTTATCTTCCATTCAAAAGGATTTGGGAGGAGGAACAAATGCCGACCGACTGGAAAGAAGGACACCTCGTCAAGATTCCAAAGAAAGGAGATCTGGGCAAATGTGAAAACTACAGAGGCATTACACTACTGTCAATACCAGGGAAAGTCTTCAACAGAGTTTTGCTGAACCGGATGAAAGACACAGTAGACGCCCAACTTCGAGATCAACAAGCTGTATTCCTTAAGGATCGGTCGTGCACAGACCAAATTGCAACACTACGGATCATCGTCGAACAATCAGTTGAGTGGAACTCATCACTATACATCAACTTCATTGATTATGAAAAGGCATTCGACAGTGTAGATAGGAGGACATTATGGAAACTTCTTCGACACTACGGAGTTCCTGAGAAGATTGTCAATATTATCCGGAACTCATACGACGGACTACAGTGCAAGGTCGTGCATGGAGGACAGCTGACAGATGCATTCCAAGTAAGGACCGGAGCCAGACAAGGCTGTTTACTCTCTCCCTTCCTCTTTCTTCTGGTGGTCGACTGGATTATGAAGACCTCGACATCTGAAGGAAAACACGGAATACATTGGACAGCTCAGAATCAATTAGACGATTTGGACTTCGCAGATGACCTAGCCCTCCTATCACGTACACACGAACAGATGCAGATGAAGACAGCCAATGTAGCAGCAGTCTCTGCATCAGTAGGCCTCAACATACACAAAGGGAAAACCAAGGTCCTCAAGTTCAAAGCGGATAACAGCAATCCAATCACTCTTGATGGCGAAACTCTGGAAGATGTGGAATCCTTCACATACCTGGGAAGCATAATCGATGAACAAGGAGGTTCAGATGCAGACGTAAAGGTGAGGATCGGCAAAGCAAGGGTTGCATTCCTACAATTGAAGAACATATGGAACTCAAAACAACTTTCAACCAATATCAAAGTGAGAATCTTCAATACGAACGTCAAGGCAGTTCTACTGTATGGAGCTGAAACTTGGAGAACTACAACAACCACAATCAAGAAAGTACAAGTATTTATAAATAGCTGTCTACGCAAGATACTCAGCATCCATTGGCCGGATACCATCAGCAATAGCCTTCTGTGGGAGAGAACAAACCAACTTCCAACTGAAGAAGAAATTAGGAAAAGACTATGGAAATGGATAGGACATACATTACGCAAATCGTCAAACTGCATCACGAGGCAAGCCCTAACTTGGAATCCTGAAGGGAAGCGGAAAAGAGGAAGGCCAAAGAACACATTGCGTCGGATAATAGAAGCAGATATGAAAAGGATGAATTACAACTGGACGGAGCTAGAAAGGATTGCCCAGGACAGGGTTGGATGGAGAATGCTGGTGAGCGGCCAATGCTCCTTCACGAGGAGTAACAGGCGTAAGTAAGTAAGTAAGTTATGGACTGGTTTCATGTCTTGGTTCAGTCGCCCCTAACTTTGTTTCAGCCTACTACACCTGACAACATCACCTGATGAGGTGGGAAGTGGCTGGACAAACGTAACACATGTTCCAACTACCTCAGTTGATGAAGATTTACCATATCATCAACAGGTTTGCAATTGTTACCCAGTACTTTATCCCTAACGTCGGCAATGCTTTCTCGGTGGTCACAAAATAAACGAGAGGTTCTTCGACGATTTGTGGTTGTCACAAGATGATTTTGACCCTTTCTTATATGTTGGGACGATAAGTGATTGAGACCAGTCAGATGGAACAACGTCTAACTCCCAGATCTTAGCTAAAATATTAGTCAACCTAGTCGCTAAAATTGGACCACCATCCTTAAAGACTTCTGGAGCCAACCCATCTGGACCAGCTGCCCTTCCTCGTCTCAGATTAACTATAGCTTTCTCGACTTCAGCAAGAGTTGGGGGAGCTACTTCAATGTTTCATTCACACTGTCTGGGAACGGAGGGTAGTTGTAGAGTAGCTGAAGGCCAGCTGAACTGTTCCCTAAAGTGTTCCGCCCATCGTTCTAAACATCTGGACTGGGAGTAGATGACAGTATCGTCTTTTTCCGAAATAGTCTCACTTACACTTGACTTATTAGTTCCAGTTTCTTTTATTAGTCTATAAAGCTGTCTTGTGTTCCCTATAGTCGCCGCCTTTTCCATCTCTTGTGCTTTCGTTGCCCACCACTGCTCACGGTCGTTTCTTAGACTTTTTCTTAACCTAGATCTGATTTGTTGTCGCTCTTCATCATGTTCGGAACCTGATGGGACGAGTTTTCGAGAATCCGTCAGTGTGATAGACTTTGAAGAAATCCACTGGTTCTTTGTAACTCTGTAGTTTAAGTCACTAATAGACTTCATTGCTGTTTCCACAGCTGTTTGTATATCTTTCCAAGCAACATCTGGGTCAGCCTCGTTTTCAGAACTACCTGATTGTGACCTCAGTTTTTCCTGGAACCTACTTTTAGTTTTCTCGCTACTCAATTCAGTTCTAATGGGTCTTTTTAGTGTTGCTTTTTTGCGTACAGTGAGGCGCAAGCAGATGCGTGCTCGTAATAAAGCATGGTCGGAGTCCAAGCAGGTACTCCAGAATGAGCGACAATCTTCCATCGACCCTCTCCAACTATGACTGATGGCAATATGGTCTATTTGAGTCCATCGTTGGTTTGGTGTAGGGGGTCGCCATGTTAGACGATGTCTTTCCTTATGCTTAAAATTTGTGTTTGCTAAAAATAAACGATTGTCTGAGCATAGTTGCAGCAGACGATCACCATTATCTGTTCGCTGTACCGGTATACTAAAATACCCACCTAAATGCCTTTCTGTTTGGTTTAAACTACCTATCTGGGTATCTGGACTCCGTAGTTAAGTGGATAACGCGATGGTGTTTGAAGCGAACGGTACTGGGTTCCACTCCTGAAGTGAACATTAACTCTGTGATACAAGTACATTCAGCTGACGAGTCCCAGAATATGATGAAATGCTCGTCCTGACTTCCGCTGCTAGCTACCATCCATCTCTAGCTAAAATATATCGCTACTACTTAATTGGTCTTTTTTATCATTATTGCAAAACATACTTATTAGCAGTCTGGGTGGAAAAATAACTATAAAGATATTTCTTCGCTTTAATTACCTTTTAACTGTTCTTTAGTTGTTTTTTATAACATTTGAACTATTAAAAACGGTGACTTTATAAGAAGCATCTTAGCCAAGAACAAGCGGATTCATATATGAAATGTTTAGTGTAGATGTCACTCACGGTCAAATTCATTAGTAGTGTGTACCTGTATACACAAATCGAGTTTAAAGAGAGGGAACGAAGAGCTGGTTGATATGGGTAATATGGATAACTACTAAAGTTTTTGTGAAGCAGCAGTCTGGGTGGGTGAATCAGTAAACACTTTCTTATTAGGTTGCACGCTAGATTTCCAGCTAATTTAGTTTGAGCAACCAAAAAGTGTATGACTCAAAATTGATTGCGAAAGCTCGTTATAAGCTATCAACGAGCCATAGAAATCTAAGCCATTCAATTGTATAGATATTACCTAAGAAAATTTAAATTTAAAAAAAAACACGGTAAATTCCAATGGGTCTCTAATAGTCACGAAGACTACACGATACACAAACAAGGAGAATATTAAGTGAGTCATTTACGAGGTACATATTCACGCACTTGTCTTTGAGGTATATTTTAGATGTGAATGTTAGTGGTGAGACGGGATGGGGTTCGAACCCATAACATTCATATGCTCAGGTTTGAAGTAAGTAACCTGATTGATAAAGTTAAGTCAGTAACTGTGATCCGACTACTGTAGTAATCTGCCGTTGATGATTAATTCACTAACACAATCAACTCCTACAGAGAATCAGTCAAAACTTCAGATCACAATTACCACCTTTAACCGTAAAGCAAGATAATGAAAGCATGATATTATTGTAGGTTTGATACATACTTGTCCAATAATTGTCCATAACCACAACGTTTTTCTATCGAGTGTCATCAGTCACCCAAGAAAGTATTTGCAAATTATTTAGCTTAGTGGTCACCAACTGGAGTGGTGGTTTAGTTCTGATTAATTCACATAGCTGGTCACAAATTCGGACCTCACTCCATTTAATCTGTTTCGGGAAGTTGAGTAAATAGTCTTCATATAATATGGCTTGAGGTCGAATATAGGAAAATGTACTTGGTAAATGAATTAAACTGTTCTGAATTTAATAAAATTGAGTTGGAATTAATGCCTGGTAGAATGGTTTACATTATTCGTTTGTTTCAGAAATGATTAATATCCTCAAACGTAACATCCTCTAGTTAGTAATACAGTGGATCACATTCGTAGTGAAAAAAAACCTTACCAACTAATAACAATAAACTTACTAGCCATTTTATGAATAAGATGTCGATTGTCTTCATAATCAAATTCAGATTTGTCAGCAACACGTCCTTTAAGCTTAGTCTTCTTTGCATGTCGTTTGCCAGCCCGCAAATATGATAAGATTTGAGTAAGTTTATTAATAACAATTTCGTTAGTAGTTATTGCACCAGTTCCACGACCATCAATTTGTAAACAATCAGATTTGCTACGAATCACTGTAGCTGGTACTTCAAAATCCACTGAATCATCTTCCAGTTCAATACGATAAGCCATGCGACCAGGTTGAAAATATTCATTACGTTCTGGGAGACGTTCATTGAAAATAACATTGCATATACTTGCCGCTAGATGAGTACGAAATTGTATGCTTTCTTCATTATTAGTACTTTCTTTCATTTTATCAGGTTTGTTTAATTCAATATCCAGGGCTTGTTCGGCTTCAATTTCTTTATTTTGTATTTCCAAACGGACTTTTTGTAATAGAACATAATCAAGACCTTTGACCAAGTGAGTATGTTCCATATCACCACCAAGATACTTAGATTCCTGTATAAGCATTCGACGACGTTCAGCATGTGAAGCACCAGCAGCAGACGATGGTGCAACAGCACGATAGTCGGCTGTACGAGTTAAAGTATCATCATCATTTTCCATTTCACGTTCTTCCTCAACTTCCTCAGTTGGAGCAACTAGTTTGCCGTCACGTCGTTCTTTTGCACGATCTCGATAACGATGTGTTGATTCAGAAACATCTGATTTTTGAGCATCTTTTTTGCTACGAACATGATGACGCTTGTGGCTTATCTTATGTTTACTACGATGAATAGTTTGACTAGGATCTTGGCGTATACGATCGGATCTTTCCAAATGGTGAGAAGAAATGCGGGTCCCAGTTTCATGTACTTCATCAATTTTTGAAGGTTGTACTGATGGCTTAGGTGTCATTAACAATTTTCGAAAATCACTATTAGATAGTTTTTGATTCGTAAAGTCACCATGACCCACAAACACATCAGGTGCTAATGGATTGGATACCGCTTCAATGAAGTCAGTCATATTCCTTGCTAAGTGAACAAAACAAAAGCATTATGTACCTAACTAAGCAGTCAAAAATCTCATTGATATATTAATTTACATAGTGTTGCATTAGGGCAAAAAAGCCATTTAGCACTGAGATCTGTTGGTTCATTACGATTCTCCTTAAAAACGTAATACAATTAAACAATGAACCTTTTGAAAAATAATTTAACTTGGAAACACAGGAATTATATAAAGTGAGCTGCTGTAAATCTTCCATGTATTGGAATAAAAACTATCAGGTATGTTGACAAAATGTTGCAAGATATGAGTAATGAGAAGCGACCTGTCAACAAGCAACTCAAACGGCTTTGTGGAGAAAATGAGCCTTATATTAACCGCCGTAATATCAGGATATGGAAGTTAACGATAATCGAACACTAAGAGAACCTAATTAATACAATTTGACACGTAGTTTGTTAGAGATATGGTTTGGTGGAGTATACACCAAATAAACCGATATATTCAGATCCATGATGGTTACTTAGCGATAAATCGTTAATTGAGATCATAGAGCTACTTGTGACAATTATTGTTTTCGGTCATATGCATGGATATCAGGTTTCAAAAACATCAATTCGATGATAAACATTTGCTATTGAAACAAATAATTTATACAACGACTACTAATGAGAGTGTGGTTCGTCAACAACTAATTTTTGGCTTCGTGAGAGCAAATTTACTGGAGACTGAAGTTTCTAAGTAGAGGCTTATAGGTCAAATTTCGAGGGGACGAGGAATTGAAATCTTTGTAGCTCCAAACTGTAAAAAAACTGAAAATTCAGTTTTCGAAGCGGCGGCTTGAACGCGTTAGTAACAACTTAGGTCCATGAGACCAGTTAGTATTGCTAGCCCTCACACGGTCTGGCTTGTAGCCAAGTACCTCTTGAACGAGTTAATAAAAATTGAGTATATGTGCTAGTGTATCTTTTATTATTTTTATTTTATTTCAACACATAAATATTGGTATAAGAGGGCACCAAATATACATGCGCCACATTATTTGTGTGCGGGCTGTAATACTGCCCGGGTGCCCAGACCGAAGCAGGTGGTCATCTTAGGGGGCCACATCCCGAGCCTTTGACCTAAAGGTCTAACCCACAAGGCAGTGGAGCATCGTAAGGAGATGCAGTCCCATGGTAGCCAGGGGCCGAAAATTGGTTCATACGCCATTTGTTCCTGCAGGATACTGGAGCCCATATGCACCATTGGTTTGGGATCCGGTTAAAGCTCCGGACATTCGCTTTTCGTCCTCTCATTTTCGTAAACAACATCCCCGCCACGAGAAGGCAGTGAGTAGGACTTCCCTGGCAGAGGCTGTATACGCGTGGCCGTGTGAGAGTATTTTGAGAAGAGTTGACTCCCAACTCTCGGCCATACCAGGGCATTGGGGGACCTACAGTAATCTAAGTGATTTTTGAGACTTTGGTAGCTTTGTTTTAACAAATTACCTGCAGAAAAACTGCTCTGAAAATGACAAGTAGTAACGCAAACCTATTGAAACAAATGATCAATAGGGTCAAGTTGAGAGACATTTCTGCTGAAAAACGCAATTGTCACATTCTAAAGCGGCAGCAGAATGATAGACATATCTATCACTATAATAGTTGTAAGTCTAGTGCAAGATCATAGACTATACCAATTACTAAGCAATATTTTACCAATTTAACAAGCTAAGAATGTTATCACAAACACATGGGTCCCTACGAAATGTCTACTAACAATCCTGAGTAATGATCCAAGCGTGAAGACAATGATTTGAGTTCGTTTATGTGAAAGACCGTTCCCTTCAAATGGCATTAACATGGATTATAATTTCGAAGTGAACCTAGTCTTGGAGAAGTTAACTTGATTAGAATGTATAGATAACCTTCAAACGACGCTAAAGTGACTGTGAGGCAACTTACCTATTTACTGGGGTCAAGATATTATTGTAAGTTAATATAAAGAATAAGAATTAGAATCTAGAGTCAGAAACTGCGGTTACGAACTCGAAGTGTGTCAAATTCAAATTAACCGCAATCGAAACTGTCAAATGGTTCAAATGGTTCAAATGGTTGTGGACGGAATAGAAGAAGCTTTCGCTTAACAGGCTTCCGTGTCTAGTAGCAGGGGATCACCAAATCCTCCAGGTAGGAACCTAGGTATGTTAACAATAAAAGAGGAAAAGAAATTGGTAAATCATAGTGTGATGCTGTCCTTGGTTCTTAAGAATAGGTCAAGTTGCCTCTTGAAGGACTCCTGAGAAGTCGCTTGGACTAGCTCGGCCGGCAGCGAATTCCAGCTTTTGACAACTCTTAAGGAGTAGAAGTTGTGTCTACATTCCGTCTTGCTATGTTGTGTTTCAGTTTCCAATTAGTTGAAGATTCCGATCTGCGAATTAGGACAGGATTATGACGGTCTGTGCTATATCTTCGCTGATAAGATTCTGCGATTGTTTAATTTCCTGCTGAATGTGAGGAGGGCACTCTTTCGGTAGTAGGTTCTGAGTTCAGCGGTTAAAAATATCCACAAAATAAATAGTTCCTTATTTCTTCGATATTGATGATGACCTCATCAGTTTTACTGGATTCACCTAACTAAAGGCTCCTGGTCACGTATTTGCTCCAAATAACGCCGTTTTATGCTTTTCCTGCAACCGTTAGTCTGCTTAGTTCAAACGATCCTCGAGATATCGATAGCCTTTTAAATATAACCTTGATCCCCTTCAGTTGTGCTTTCTGATTTGGCTGAGTTGACATACTTCGATTATAAAGGTGTTACGTGCAAAGGCGTTGTCAAACCCCGAATGCTTGTGGCATCTGTAGTGTTGAGCCCGACGTGATTTGGTAAACTAATCCGGTAACTGTGTGTCTGTCCCTTATTGAAGCATCATACTCCATATCTTAATTTTTATTTTTACATACTGTTATATTATTTTCATATTTTCGAATATTTTTTTCTCGTTCATTGGTATACTTTATATTATTCATGGAGGAACAGGCTCCTAAGTTATTTAACATTAAGACTCTTTCTCCTCCCTCAATTCAGTTAACGCTATTCTGGCCCAACAATATAGAAACTTGGTTCTGCCACGCAGAAGCTGACTTCGATGAGCACTTCATGACAGACCTACGTGCACCGTTTCTCGCAGCAGTGGAAGCACTAACGCGCGATTTTAATAGGTACGGCACATCTAACATGTCTAATAATGATGTTCCTGATCCTTATGAATATTTGAAAGGAGCTATCCTTAAACGTGGAGACCTAACCGACCGACAAATTTAAGTCCAACTCTCCTACGACACAGAACTACAATATGGCTCAGCAGTAAAATGTTGCCAAAATTCGATAGTATAGGGGTTGTGGAGATTATTAAGTGACTAGTGACTAGCTTCGTGAGGGAATTCTCGGAGTTCTAGTGAGAAGCCGTGACCAGTGGAGCTAATCCTTGTCGGGTAGAGACAGTTATCTACTTAAGTACAATGGAAGTTGGTCGCGCAATTTCGTGGATTGGTTGATGTTAGAAACTATCACCATTGGATGCCGGCTCAGTGGTCCAGTTGGTTAAGCGTTCGCGCGCGAGACCGAAGGCCCTGGGTTCGAATCCCGCTCGCGGGATCGTGGATGCGCACTGCTGAGGAGTCCCACAATAGGACGAAACGGCCGTCCAGTGCTTCCAGGTTTTCAATTGTGATGGTCTAACATCAATTGGTTCAAGACCTCAATCAAAAAATTCGATAGGTCATTTGTCAGCGGACTTTCGACGAAGACCCGTTTAGACAGCACTTATTGTTTAAACTTCCACAACCGGAACATGCAGCGCTTAAATCACTTCAAAATAACTCTAGATGCATTACCTACATCTGCTAACCAGCTCCTCAAGGTCACTGGAACTCCTAGGTCCGAGGTTTATTCTGTTAAAGAAAAGCCTCAAATGACACGGCATGACGTTACTGGCCTCTGTAATACTCTGACACGTTACCTTAGTATTTACCATGATTGTAGACCCTCACGAACCTCTCGCAGTGGTTTTTCAAAGAAGCGATCGGCCTCTAGGTCACGAGAGACGAACAAACCTGATTGGTGCTTGCATCACAATAAGTATGGTTAATCTCCGAAGTGTAGAAAACCCTGCAGTTTCCTGATCTCCGAACCAACCGGCACTAACAAGGCTTCGGGAAACTTCCAGGCCGGCACACGTTTACAACAACCGTGGCCGGAGAAACTAGCCATCCGTTGTACATCACTGATGTGATAGCGAAAATTCACTGTCTCGATGACACTGCTGCAGAAGTTAACGTCCTTCCAGAAATTTCTGACGACTGTCCGCCTAAACCGGCTCGCAACTGACAGGAAGCAAATGGGAAACTGATCACCACATATGGTAAGCGGCATATTTATCTGAATGTGAATTGACGGAAAACGATTGATTGTATTTTTGTTGTCGAAGATGTTTCTATGCCAATCGTTGATATAGACCTGCTACAGCATCGTAATCTACTGATTGACACGCTCAAACGAAGGTTAGAAAACACTAAATTATCTGTTTTCGTGTCTTCATTTTCTTTTCATACACATAGCTCCCCTTATCATTTTGGAAAGAACAAGAACAAAGATTCTACCAAAATAGCATAAATTCATTTTATTTCGTAGGTTCTCGTCAGCTGCTTACAACCTGTGATATTTAAAAATCATAATTGCATAATGGGTTTAAATTGCTTACTGAATATTGTAAATATATACCTAATGTAAAAGAATATTCTACAACATTAATTGTGACAACAGTTCAAAAGTGGGTTAGAAACAATTGATTACATAATGGATAAAGATTGATAGGATTATAATGAGTAGAGTTCATTTGAAAGATAGTTGAAAAAATAAAATAAAATAAATGTTGTAATAAATACAAAAGAAAAAAGAAAAAAATTTAAGGTGCAGTGAAGGAATATTTGTCACCAGGGCAAGGAAAGATTAATTACCGTCTCCTTTTGAATACATAGGTCCGGTTTTTGACGCCTGATAGCAATGGCTCCAGCAAACTTCAGAAGACTGGATTTTAGCTGCCTACTAATCACCCTAAAGGATTGTAAAGTATGTCCTGTATCAAGGAGATATTTGGTGATTGCACTCTTCAGAGTCTTTCTTTCCCTTGTTCTAAGACTTTTTGGAACATGTTCAAAAAATCTAAGATGTGCTTCCCTTTCAGTTCGGCCGATGTAGCTTATTTGGCAGGTACACGTAAATTTATAAATACATTTGGCGGTAAAACGAAAGGGCTGCTTGTCAATCTTTGATTGGGTTATTGAACGTGTTGTTTTATAGAGAGTTATGAGTTTAGCAGAGGGATAAGTTCTGGCTAGAGCAGTGTTCAGTCTCCCGTTGATTATTTGTGCGACGTTATCACCTTTAAACTTAAGATTTATATATACTGGCTTCCTATTGACCGTAGTTATTTCCATCTTGTTTCCTTTGGGCTTTTTATATTTGTTAATAAACTTTTGTGGATAAAAGTTGTCTTTTAGACATTTTTCTACGTTCATAAAATTTTCTTCCAGTTTGTCGATGGTACATATCTTTTCCACCCTGTAAAATAGTGCTTTAACCAATGTTTTCTTGTAACTAATTGGACAAAAACTATTGAAATTCAGGTAGAGGCCATTCCAATTAATTTTTTTATAAACTGAACGTTGAACTGTCCCGTCTTCCCTGTGTTTTATGGCAGCATCCAGAAAGTGGAACATTTCGTTCTGTTCGTGCTCCATAGTGAAATGTATGTTAGTGTAAGCGTTATTGAAACGTTTCAGCAGGCGGATTGCATGCTGTTTATTGTTACAGATAATAAATGTGTCGTCCACATATCTAAAGTATTCCGTTGTTTCACTAATTGCCCGTTTAAGTAACGTGATTTCAAGATACTCCATAAAAATATCTGCCGTAATTGGACCTAGTGGGCTTTCCATTGCTACGCTATCGATTTGGCGATATATGGTTGTTATCCCTGGTCAGTTTTAAGCACATAATCGATCCATGCACCAAACGCGATCGAAATCACAGTATGTAACTGGCAATATTACATGATACATCACGACTACATGACCAACTGTATTCTGGAAAGCGAGCCGACTAGCTCTCGTAAAGCCAAGGTTAGTCAAAAACTAAATCAACCAAACGATGGATTTGGATATTATTTGTCCATCGAACAGCCAATGTGCATCGCCCTTTCGCATGGTTCCTAATGAGGACAACAACAATTAGCGCCAAACTGGTGACTATCAGCGACCAAATGTGAAAACCTCTCCTGATCGCTATCGATTGCCTCATATTCACGACATGACAGCCACCTTAAAATTTATAACAACTGTTTTTGTTCGAAGATCAGTTTCGTTAAAACACATAACCAAATTTTCATAGCTACCCAGAACCGACCACAGTCAAGCAGTTACATACGTTCAATGGGCTGGTAAGTTTTTATCGATGGTTCATACCATCTCTTATGAGACCCTTGACAGACCAACTTTGTAGAAACGAGTAAATCATCAATTTGGATGACAACACGAACAGAGCATTCTCCAAAATTAGGGAAATTGTTACAAAAGCACATTAGGATATCACAGCAGCCTTTAGTATCGCAGCAGAAGCATCAGGCTTGACAATCGGAGGAGTCTTACAACAATGAGTAAACAACAGATGGTAACCTTTGACATTCTTCTCGAGATGCTTTCAAGACACTGAATCGAGGCATAACATTTCCGGTAGGGAAATCCTATCACTTCAAACACTATGGAAGACCAAGGATTCACTGTGTTCGCCAACCACAAACCTCTCACGTACTCTTTGAGCGCGTCTTCAAACAAGCACTCTTTCTGAAAGTCTTGACAACTGGACCATGCTTTGCAGATACATACAACACATTTCTGGGTAAACAATATAGCTGTTGACCCCTTGTCTCGTATAACTTCAATGAAACTTTTCAAAGGAATAATTCTCCTTAAATTCGCTCAGCTACAGATAGAAGAAGCTAATCTTCAGCAC